AAATTACTGGAATTCTGTCACTTCTATAAAAAGGATCCGGGGTTCTCCTTGAGGTTGTGCAAGAATTGTCTGTAGGGAGAACAGGGCACAAATTATTGATAATCAAACCAACCCAAACGACTGCTTTTGCTGTCACTAAAATGCCTTTGCAATCGGAGTCATCATCATCTGGGATTATCCGAAACCATTTACTCAGAAAAGCTCCTTTAGGAAGGAATTTCAAGGAAGGAAATTGGGAATTTCAAGGCAAGGCCAATAGTAACCTTTGGAATCAATGAATGTCTTATCAGAAAAGATAAAGGTTTGCCTTTATATCCCAAAGGTGTAAGGTTTGGGCATTCAAAACTGATACTTGGTGGAAATAATTCTTCAATTTTACTTCACCCTTTTGCTGCACCTTTCCCAGATCTCAAGGTGTTCAGGTCTCCAGGGACCTCCCAGGACTTGCAGCAAAGCCAGGGAATCTTCCCCTCATTAATATTCCCGGGAGACAAAAGCTGAAATCTGATTTTTCACGCTTGGTTATTTTATTTTAGGATTAGTCAAATCTGAATGTGAACCTGAATGCAGACCATTGTAATGGGGACATAATGAAGAGAATTCAATTATCAGCATTAAATGGCATTTCTGGGGGAGATATGCTGCTTATCTGGGAATTTCTGTGCAGGAAAACAATTCAGATAATATTGCACACCCCTCTCTTTGATAAGACCAATTCCCCTTTGGAACCTCCCTAATAATTCTGTTATTGTGACTTCAGAGGCAGAGTTCCTTAATCTTTCAGGAAGGTTAATGAAGACTATTACCAGTGGCTTCTACCGCCAGAATAAATCCCTAATTTTGCATTTCCAATTAGGAGCAGAACAGGGACACTCCCGCCTCCTTCACCTGGCTCAGGGGGGAAGTTTGGGACAAAATGCTTCTTGCTTCTAGCAGGGTGTGGAAAAGTGGAACTAGGATAAAATGGAGAGAGTTCCCATGGAGAATCCCAGGATTCCTGAGGCTGGGAAAGCTTTCCAAGGTCACTGAGTCCAGCCTGTGACCGATCCCCTCCGATGGTTTTTTGGGACATCAAAGATTCCACACCCACCATGGCAGGGACACCTCTCACCATCCCAGGCTGCTCTGAGCCTTATCCAGCCTGGCCTGGGACACTGCCAGGGATCCAGGGGCAGCCCCAGCTGCTCTGGGCACCTGTGCCACCCTCCCAGCCAGGAATTCCTTCCCAAGACCCCATCCATCCCTGCCCTCTGGCGATGGAAAGCCTTTCCCTGGCTCCTGTCCCCCTTGCTCCATCCCTCTGCTCATCCTGGACTCTCTCAGCAGCTCCAGCCTGGGCTGGGACAGGGCTGGGGCAGCTCTGCAGGTGGGGGCTCAGCTGGGCAGAGGGCAGCAGCCAGGCTGGGAATGCTCCTTCCCCTCGGGATGTCTCCTGGGGAAATCAAGCAGATTTTTCAGCAAGAGCAAGGCTGCTTTTCAGGCAGAGAATGAGCGGCTTCCACCTCATCAGAGACCTTTTCTGAATGGTGGAAAATGGGGGGGAAATGCAAAACAGCAGCAAAGACTGATGTCAGGGCTTACATAAGCACAATTCCCATGTCACAGGTACGGGATTACAGCTGGAGACAAAAGTTTGGGATGAAGAACACAAGGTAGGGGTAGCGAGAGTTACACAACTCCCAGAGCAAAGAAACAAAGTGCTGGAAACTCCCAGCCTTCGTGCAAAGCTGGTGCCCACAAAGCTGCAGCTCACAGGAAGGTGAGCAGCAAATTTACAAACCAAAATCGGTGTGAGGAGGTGGCAGAGCTGCAGAGAGGTTCCACGTGGTTGTAAATGCGGAGAGAACCTTCCTCCGTTCCTCCAAGGCTCTGAATTGTGAACAGGGCTGTGTTTCTAATTGAAATGTGACGCTGGAAATGAAGATGGCTCCGAGAGCTTTGAAGTTCCCTAATTATTGCAGTGACCCAGACTGCAGCTGGACACTGTGGAAATCAGCCAGGCAGCCCACAGAATTAATTAAAGGGAAGAAAGGAAACACAAGTGGATGTCTGGCCAGTGCCAGGAGGATATCCATGGGGAAAAGGCTTTGGGCTGAAGGAAACTTGAGCGTTGCTTTCTTTTTTCATTCCAACCTTCAGCTCAGCATTGTTGCATTTCTCACGTGTAGTCCCCATTATCAAATCTCTTTTGGCAGAGAAAAGGTAAATTCTGGGGTATTGGAACAAAGTGGGAAATTCCCAGAGCTTTCCTTAGGTCAGAGAAGGGAGCAGCTGCCCTGGAAGCCCCCAGGTGAACGCTCCAGAAAGGGCTCCTGCTTTCCAAACAAGTCTTTTATGGGATTTGAGGAAAAGAGGGATGTGCCTTCAATAAGGGAAGGTTCAGACTGGATCTTTGTTGGAGATTTAGATGGGACACTGGGAAGGAATTCCATACTGATGGTGTTGATTGTGCTGATACAAGAGAGAGAACAGGAGCAGGAAATCCATGCCTCGTGTGAGATGTGTGACAAAGGAGGCACTGAGGAGAATTCCCTGCTGCTCTGGAAATAATCCCTATTTCCTGAACCCTCAGGCCAGTGTTTTACTGCTCATTCCAGCCCTGCCACACTCCCAAGTTCTCAGTTTTCAGCATTTCTCAGTCACTTTCTAGCTCTGCCAGATCCCTGCAGCTGGGATTTCTTGGATTTTTCTGAATGGAACTGAAGGGCAGGAGGGGTTTGATGTTTGCTGCCCGCTCAGAGAGCTCAGGCTGCTCCCTGAGAGCCCAGAACCTGCTGCCTTTGGCCCTGGGTCCGTTTTGCCTCTGGTTATTCTGGGTATTTATTGAATTTTGGCTCCGGTTGTGGCGCTGCAACAGCTCCCTGAGACACCAACACTTCTGTGAAATGTTCTGTGGAAAACGCGTTCGGGAGAAAAATTAAATCCATCATTAATGCATCCTGAAAAACAGCAAATTAAAAATTGATTTATCCTGCCAATCACACAGAGGCCACTTCTGGAGCTTTTTATAGCAGCATTTTCACCACCCCCGTTCTGCACCCCTGCTGGACTCTTCAGGAGAGCCCAGAATTCCAGAGTCGTTGGGCTTGGAAGGGATTTTTAATCCCATCCCAGCCCTGCCGTGGCAGGGACACCTTCCACCATCCCAGGCTGCTTCTTTTAGGGATCCAGGGGCAGCCACAGCTGCTCTGGGAATCCCATCCCAGCCAGGAATTCCTTCCCGAGGCATTTGGAATGTTGGAATTTGTTGAGCTGTTTCATGCCACCTTTAAAGCAGCTGGGTGCACCCGCAGCAGTTTTCTCTGTCTTTCCAGCAGGTGAGGGAAATGTCTTCTCCTGTGACTCCTGATAATCAGGGATTAGTGTTCTCCTGCACAAAAGGCCTGTGAATTGAGAAGGGACTGTAAGTTATTGTAATTGGTTTCCATAAAGCTCCTGTTTTCCTCAGATGAAGGAGTTTCTTTATAAGACAATAAACTGCAGGAACTGATAATGAGCTGCTTGCTGGAGCTGAAAAGGAGCAGGTTATTTTATGCTGCTTTCCTCCTTTATCTGTCTTTATTCAAGAAATAATCTGATTTTTGAGCTCTTTTGAGGTTCTGTTCTTCCTGTGTAATGTGTGACGTGGGGCAGTGAGCTCAGGACTCAGCTGTGGGGAATTTTAGTTCCTAAATGGGGAAAAGCACCAAGCTCTGGTGCTTCCAGGAGGAGTGGGAGAGGGATGAGGAATCCCTTGCAGGGATTAAGGAATGGACCAAGCTGCTGTGTCCCTGACTCAGCCCAGCCAGGGGGTGGCTCCTGGACTGAGCCTTCTCCATCAGCAACCACCAGCACCAAGGAAAGCGTCTCTGAACATCAGTAGAGAGCAAAATGTAGGGAAGGAAAGTAATTACCAATGCTGGAATTAGTCCAGGGGAGGAATTGATAATGCTGAAATTAATAAAAAGTTTAATTACCACGAGCCCACAGGGCGTGAAATTCTGCTCCTTTCAATCGTAGCCCAGGTCCTTTCATTCCATACTGGTGCTTGCTACAAAAAAACTTATTTTGCTTTATTTGGGCTGAATTAGTACATTGCTCTCCTAAATCTAGCTCAAAACCTTGGAAGTGGTTTGGAAAATGGGAGCTGAAGGCTGAGCCCTCCTTGCCTTTGTGGTAAATATATTCCAGGACAGCCTGGTTGTCCAGAATGTTTAACTCCTAAAGGTGTCCAGGATGGATTTAGGCACTGCTTGACCTGTTCCAAATCTGCTTTTGGAGCATTCCCCCCACCCTGAAGTGGTTTTGTTCCACAAGGAGCAGGGCACTGTGTAAAGTTACTCACTGAATTAGAGGTGCCCACGCACGCTGGGGGTGAGGAGGGTCTGCACCACTGGCAGAGGGTGGGAGAACTTTGGGAAAACTTCTGGATGCGTGTTTTAGTGCAGGAAAAGGAATGGGTTTTGCTAAATCCCCTCTTGGAGCTTCCAGCAGAGCCTGGTGGCACGGGAGGAGCAGGAATGGTTTGGGATCGCTCTGAAGCCAAGGGTTCCATCCCTGCTGTCCTCAGCTGCTGCAGGAGCCCGTGGGAGCTCTGCTGGTGTGGGGGATCCAGGGATAATTCCCATTTCCCACGGGAATCACACCCAGGTGCCTCCAGCTGCGTCCCTGCCAGCTCTGGGCCAGGGACCAACCTTGCCTCTGTGCTTCCATGGGGGGTTTGGATTCTGTGCCTTCCCATTTTCCCACGAAAGCCAGGCTTGTGGCTGGGCTTGGTGTTTTCCCTTCCATCCCAGAGCAGGGAACAGCTGCAGGGTCCAGGTTTTCTCCTTGCACTCCAAATCCCACCTCCCCATTCCAGCAAGGTGCCACAGCCACGGCACGACGCACGCTCCAGATGTCCCTGGGGAAAACTGCTTTCAGTGAGCCGCAATCCCGAGCATAATTCCCACGAGCGTTCCCCCAAAAGGCTGCTGAAATCCCGTTTTCCCTCCCTTTTGCCCTCAGTATGCTGCTTGGAGATGACAAGCAAAAGGAAGCTGATCGGCCGCCTGGTGCCGTGCCGGTGTTTCCGCGGCGAGGAGGAGATCGTCTCCGTGCTGGATTATTCCCACTGTGGCCTGCAGCAGGTGCCAAAGGAGGTCTTCAACTTCGAGAGGACCCTGGAGGAGCTTTACCTCGATGCCAACCAGATTGAGGAGCTTCCCAAGGTAATCCATGTCCTGCCGGGGTGCAAAGCCCGCAGTGTGTGCCCGGCTCTGGGGCTGCTGGGGAGAGATGGAGGTGGGGGCTCCAGGGATATTCCTTGGAATCGGGGCTGGACTGCGAGGAGAAGGGACTCCTGCTCCTTCCTCACAGCACAGGAATGGGGCAGCTTGGGGCCTGGAACTGGGAAAAACAATTCTGCAAAAGAAACAGTTCTGGCCCCAGAAATTCCTGTGGTGACCAGTACCTGGATCAGGAGTCACCGCTGCCTTTGGATCCTCTCCATCCCTGCTTTTCCTTCAGGACCAGCCCTTTATCCCTGTGGGACATTCCTGGGAATGCCAGGGCTGTCCCCTGTGTCAGGACCAGCCCTTTATCCCTGTGGGATGTTCCTGGGAATGCCAGGGCTATCCCCTGTGTCAGGATCAGCCCTTTATCCCTGTGGGACAGTGTGGGACGTTCCTGAGAATGCCAGGGCTGTCCTCCCTGTCAGGATCAGCCCTTTATCCCTGTGGGACATTCCTGGGAATGCCAGGGCTGCCCTCCCTGTCAGGACCAGCCCTTTATCCCTGTGGGACATTCCTGGGAAATGCCAGCTGTCCAAGCAGGAATTTCATAACTGCCCCGAGATCATCCAAGCCATTCTTCCCCTGTAAAACTCCTCTTCTGGAACCTTCCAATCCATTCTCCTGCTGATCAATGTTTGCCATAAGGAATCAAAAGTTACTGTAACCAAAATGTTCTGGAAACAAAGGAAGGAAAGGTGGAAAAAACAATTAGTGGCAGGTGCTGGCTCCATAATGAAGCGTGAAGGGATGGGATCCAGGCCTTAATGGAATTTTTTCTCCACAATAATGAAAGATGCTTACAAATCTTTAATTAAACATTCCATTCTCCATCATCTCAGAGCAAATTTCCTGGTTTTGCTGCACAGAGACTTCGTAAAAATTCCATTTATAGAAGTACAAAATTGGCTTTTTCCAAGCCACGGGGTTGCTTTGCTGGGATGTGATGGTTCATTGCTTGAGAGGTCTCACTCCGTGGAGGAATTCTGCACAGATGGTGGGACAGGGAAGCCAAAATCCCTTTATTTTCATGGAAAAAGGCTGTGGAGAGCTGCCTGAGCTCTCCCGGACACACAGCACAGAACCAGCTGGGTTCTATCCCCAGAAATCCCAAATGGATCCTGGGAAAACCTGCTCAGGAAGCCCTGAGGTCCCATCTTCTCCTTCTTCTTCTTCTTCTTCTTCTTCTTCTTCCTTTTCTTCTTCTTCTTCCTTTTCTTCTTCCTCTAAAATAATAATAATAATAATAATTCCCTTATTTTCCTTCTGCTACTGAGGAATACTGGAAGTGTCACATTTAGGGAGGGATTTTTGGAATATTTTGGTTGGGCCTCTTGGAATGATCCAAGTGTTTCAGAAAACAAATATACCAGAGTGAGATGCCAGGCTCCTGTATGGAAAAAATGAGGAGCAAAGGGAAGAGGTCCAAAATGCTGAAGCTGGGATGAAGGTGATAATTTTAACTTAGTGTAAATCGAGTTTAACATAATCTTGGCCATGTGGAAGAGAAGATTAATGGCAGTGTTAATAGCACTCATCGGTTTTTGTCTTAAGCCTTTATTAATTGTTACCAGGAATTCAACAGCTGAAATAATTCCTTTATCAAATTTTCTGCTCGAGGTGTTTTTGCTGCAGAGCTCAAGGCTTTTTTTTTTTTCATCACTGAGTTAATATTCCAGGAGAGAAAATGCCTTTTTTTTTTTTTTCCCATGAAATTGGCACTGTAATACTTAACATGAACTTTTGTGTTTTACATTAAATTCCACCATTCTCTCCTCCCTCTGCAAATGTGTTTTCAAAGAATTCATTCCAGAGGAAATTTTCGGTCATTTTCTGCTCTTTGCCAAATATTCTGTGCCCCTGATATTACAGATTTCTTTTGAATCAAAGCTCTTAATCATGTTTTATTATTTAATGAGGAAACAACTTAGTTAAGTCCAGCTCTACTTTAGTTTCATGTGATGCTCTGAGTCCAGTAAATTATTTTCCATTGATGCCTTAAACTTCTTCTGCCTGATTTTATTTTTACTTTCCATTTTAGGTATCATAATGATGATTTTTAGTTCTTCATTTCTTGTATTTCTCTGTTTTTTTAAGGATTTACAAGATGTTTTTATACTTCTAACTCTCTCTTTTGGCTAAATCCAGCCAAGTCTTTTTATTCTCTTTGCCTTTGACTTCATTCTCCTGCTGCAAAAAAATCCTTTATTTGTATGAGTCAAGTGAATTGATGACTAATAAAGGGAAAATTGATCTGGATGAGAGTGGAGTCATTGGAATCAGCATCCAGAAAAACATGAGTGGGCTGGAATTCTCCCCAGAGGTGCAGAATAAAACCCTGGTTTCATAACTCCGAGCTCGGTAGCATCACTTGGATTTGGTCTGAGAGGAATTAAAGTTGTTCCTGGGCAGAGGGAATGATGATTCCAACAAAATCCTGATGGCCAGGGAGCTCTGGAAACTCGGAAAAATATCTGTAAAGCATCCAGTGGGTGAAAAAAAAAGTAATTTTGGGACTTCATTGCATGTCTCATATTCCTTCTGATGCTTCATAAAATCACTCCAGAGGGAAGATTTTTAATTTGGCTTCTCCCTGCAGCACTTCCAAAGCCTTGGGTGTATCCAGGTGGGGTCAGAACTCCGAGTTCTGAGCCTTCCTCAGCTCCCAGAGGAATTCCTGGTGAAAACTGGGAATCCACCTCTATAAAATTGGAATTTGGTGGAAAAATTAGAATAGAGTCCTGAATTTTGGGCAGGGATTTCAAGGAAATATCCTTTGGATAATGCCAAAGCATTTCTGGACCTTGGGGATAATTATTTAATCTGAATGCAGTCAGAGTATTTTAAAATCTGCCATGAAATTTAATTATGAAATCAAATATCTTAATTTACCAGGGGGCACAAAAATTGGGGGATTTCTATGACAAATATGAAACACACCAATAAATGTGAATTCCATGCAATGACATCAAAATCACAAGATATTGATTGCAATGAATTCACAGGTTTTGAGTATCTTTGAACATCCCTGCCACCCATGACCTGTTTGTCTTATCCCCATCAACCATGGGAATGCCTTCCCAAAAATCCCACGGGGAGGGTGGAATTCTGCTGTGGTACACAGGGCTTTGTGCTTTTTTGTGTGTCCAAAAAAAAAAATCCCCCTGGGAGGGTTGATTCTGCTGTGGCCAGCGGGGTTTATGACCCCTGGAAGGGAGGGTTGATTCTGCAGTGGCCAACGGGATTTGTGCTGTTTGAGTATCCAAAAACCCCCCTGGAAGGGTGGAATTCTGCTGTGGCCAGCGGGGTTTATGATGTTTGAGTGTCCAAAAAAGCCCTATTGGGAGGGTGGAATTCTGCTGTGGCCAGCAGGGGTTTGTGATGTTTGAGTATCCAAAAATCCCCCTGGGAGGGTGGAATTCTGCTGTGGCCAGCAGGGGTTTGTGCTGTTTGAGTATCCAAAAAACCCCATTGGGAGGGTGGAATTCTGCTGTGGCCAGCAGGGGTTTGTGCTGTTTGAGTATCCAAAAAACCCCATTGGGAGGGTGGAATTCTGCTGTGGCCAACGGGGCTTGTGCTATTTGAGTATCCAAAAATCCCCCTGGGAGGGTGGAATTCTGCTGTGGCCAACGGGGGTTTGGGCTGTTTGAGTGTCCAAAAACCCCACTGGAAGGATTGATTCTGCTGTGGCCAACGGGGTTGTGATGTTTGAGTATCTAAAAATCCCGCTGGAAGAGTTGATTCTGCAGTGGCCAGCGGGGATTTGTGATGTTTGAGTATCCAAAAAACCCCACTGGGAGGGTGGAATTCTGCTGTGGCCAACGGGCTTTGTGCTGTTTGAGTATCCAAAAAACCCCATTGGGAGGGTGGAATTCTGCTGTGGCCAACGGGGCTTGTGCTGTTTGAGTATCCAAAAATCCCCCTGGAAGGGTGGAATTCTGCTGTGGCCAACGGGGGTTTGGGCTGTTTGAGTATCCAAAAACCCCACTGGAAGGGTTGATTCTGCAGTGGCCAGCGGGGGCTTGTGATGTTTGAGTATCCAAAAAACCCCATTGGGAGGGTGGAATTCTGCTGTGGCCAGCAGGGTTTGTGCTGTTTGTGTGTCAGTGAGGATCCCAACTGGATTTCTTTCTTTTCCCCCGCGGAACCCGCGGAACAGCAACTGTTCAACTGCCAAGCCCTGCGGAAGCTGAGCATCCCCGACAACGACCTGTCCAGCCTCCCCACGTCCATCGCCAGCCTGGTCAACCTCCGCGAGCTCGACATCAGCAAGAACGGTGAGGGCTCCCAGTCCCCAGCATCCCCCCAAAAACTGGGAGCTGGGATGGAGCTCTGACTCCTCGCGGGGCCGGAATCCGCGCTCCGTCTCAGGATCCGCGCCCGGCGCTCTGGGGGAGGGTCTGTGCAGATCCAGCTCCGGTTTTTCCTTTAAAAAAATCGAGTTTTCTTTGGCATCCTGTGCTCTGGGGGCTTCTGCCTGGCTGGGAGTAGGAATGTGAGGCCAGTTTTCCATGCGCTTAGGAGTGTTCCACTTCCAAAGGGGTTCAGAGCTCGCTGGGCTCTTGTGTGGGGAGTTTAAACAATTCCCAGGATTTATCTGGACTGCTTTGCTGCTGTGCATTCCCAATTCTGCATTTTCATATTGATGGGCCTAAAAACTTTTGCTGTCTGAGCTCAAGGGTCTTAGTATTTAAAAAATGAGGCTTAGGAACTCTTGGAAACGTTGGGAAATTTCCTGTTAGGGGAGGTCTGGAGTCTGTGAGAGAAAAGCATTTTGGGAAGGGATGAAGGCACAAATCTCAGCACAAATTATGTCACTGTTAATTCTAGAACATTACATAAATCAAGCATTAGCAGAAGTGTTATAATTTTGTATTTTCACATATTTATTTAGGGCTTGAGACCTTTTGGATGATAATTCCCAACTGTGTTTCCTTCCTGCTCGAGCCGAAGTCTGAGCTGGAAATCCCAGTTAAGCATTTATGAACAAACCAGGCTGAGCAGTTTTTGTGTAGATAATATTTGTCTGGGTCTAATAAATATTTTTGTGCGTCTAATACTCTTTCCATGTTTTTTAGGAATCCAAGATTTCCCAGAAAACATTAAGTGCTGTAAGTGTTTAACAATAATCGAAGCCAGCGTCAACCCCGTGTCCAAGTGAGTACCAGGAGCTCGTTTTGCTCATTCCAAGAGCACAAAATGTGCTCAGCATGAGCTCAGAGCTTTGTATCCAGTCCTTTTGCAGGGTTAGTCTGAATGTTTTTCTAATTGTTTAAATTTAAACAGTTTAAATTGTTTCTAATTTAAACCCAGAGTGGGTTTGTCTGAGATGTGGGTACTCTGTTAGTGCCAGTCAGGCTGGGCAGTCTCCACACACAGGGCTGAGGCTTCACCTGGACACTTGGCCAGCCCTTATTCCTTATTCCTTCCAAAATCTTGTAGAAATAGCAACAAAAAATGAGTTGTAAATCCAGGATTTACAAAGTGGAGTGAAGGAGAGAAAGGGTGAAATGTTGATGCTTCAGTTAAAAAAAATAGAGAGAAAGGAAGAGGGAGAGGGAGGAAGAATGAGAGGAAAAGAGGAGAGAAGGAGAAGGAGAAAAAAAGAAAAATATTAAGAGAAAAAAGAGAGAGAGAAGAGGAGAAGGGAGGGAGGAAGCAAGGGAGGAGGAAGAGAAGGGAAAAGAAAAGAAAAAAGAAAGAGAAGAGAAGAGAAGAGAAGAGAAGAGAAGAGAAGAGAAGAGAAGAGAAGAGAAGAGAAGAGAAGAGAAGAGAAGAGAAGAGAAGAGAGAAGAGAAAGAAAAGAAAAAAGAAAAGAAAAGAAAGAAAAGAAAAGAAAAGAAAAGAAAAGAAAAGAAAAGAAAAGAAAAGAAAAGAAAAGAAAAGAAAAGAAAAGAAAAGAGAAAAAGAAACACCTTTGGTTTAAATCCCTCAAGCAGGAAGGGAGCAAAGGCTGCTCTCCCCTGGATGTGCCAGGCCTTTGCATTTCCTGTTTGTAGCAATGCAGGGAAGATGGGAATGGGCAAAAATGTCTGTTAAAAGTGAGTTCTTCAGGAGAATTTGGGTAGAAGAAGTAGGTGAGAGAGAAAGTCACCTTTCTGCTTCTAAATATACATTGTTATTATCTCCATGGCAACTCAGGGTGAGCATTAAGGTTTGCTCTGTTTTTTTAGGCTGCCAGATGGCTTCACACAACTTCTAAATTTGACCCAGCTCTATCTAAACGATGCCTTTTTGGAGTTTCTTCCAGCTAACTTTGGAAGGTAAGCATGAGTCACCGCAGCACATCCCTGTCGCTGGAGCCCGGCTGGGGCTGGCTCCCCTTGGAAAACTGAGCCAAATCCCAGCGATTTTGGCTTTTCAGCCCTGTTCTCAGAGCGAGGGCTGTGTCAGCAGGAACGGGGTGCTGAGGGATTTGGGGAGAGGTGAGGAGCAGCAGGGCTCATCCCTCTGCTGCGGCAGGGCCAGAGGCAGCAGGTCCCTTCTCAGGTCCCCTCCTGGTGACAAAGTGTCACCAGCCCTGATATTTTAAGTTCTTCTGAGCCTTCTGATGTTTTCATCCTTGTAACGACCTTTTCTCACGCGCTTCATGTAAATAGCTTATTGCTTTGCATTCTTTTATAGGAGAGGAGAAACTTGATGGGCTGTTGGTTTGTCCAGTGTCATTTTCCTTTACAGGAGAGGAGAAATTCGATGGGCTGTTGGTTTGTCCAGTATAGGAGAGGAGAAATTCGATGGGCTGTTGGTTTGTCCAGTATAGGAGAGGAGAAATTCGATGGGCTGTTGGTTTGTCCAGTGTATTTATTTTTATTTATTTGTATTTATTTTATTTATTTGTATTTATTTTTATTTATTTGTATTTATTTTATTTATTTGTATTTATTTTTATTTATTTGTATTTATTTTATTTATTTGTATTTATTTTTATTTATTTGTATTTATTTTATTTATTTGTATTTATTTTTATTTATTTGTATTTATTTTATTTATTTGTATTTATTTTTATTTATTTGTATTTATTTTATTTATTTGTATTTATTTTTATTTATTTGTATTTATTTTATTTATTTGTATTTATTTTTATTTATTTGTATTTATTTTATTTATTTGTATTTATTTTTATTTATTTGTATTTATTTTATTTATTTGTATTTATTTTTATTTATTTGTATTTATTTTATTTATTTGTATTTATTTTTATTTATTTGTATTTATTTTATTTATTTGTATTTATTTTTATTTATTTGTATTTATTTTATTTATTTGTATTTATTTTTATTTATTTGTATTTATTTTATTTATTTGTATTTATTTTTATTTATTTGTATTTATTTTATTTATTTGTATTTATTTTTATTTATTTGTATTTATTTTATTTATTTGTATTTATTTTTATTTATTTGTATTTATTTTATTTATTTGTATTTATTTTTATTTATTTGTATTTATTTTATTTATTTGTATTTATTTTTATTTATTTGTATTTATTTTATTTATTTGTATTTATTTTTATTTATTTGTATTTATTTTATTTATTTGTATTTATTTTTATTTATTTGTATTTATTTTATTTATTTGTATTTATTTTTATTTATTTGTATTTATTTTATTTATTTGTATTTATTTTTATTTATTTGTATTTATTTTATTTATTTGTATTTATTTTTATTTATTTGTATTTATTTTATTTATTTGTATTTATTTTTATTTATTTGTATTTATTTTATTTATTTGTATTTATTTTTATTTATTTGTATTTATTTTATTTATTTGTATTTATTTTTATTTATTTGTATTTATTTTATTTATTTGTATTTATTTTTATTTATTTGTATTTATTTTATTTATTTGTATTTATTTTTATTTATTTGTATTTATTTTATTTATTTGTATTTATTTTTATTTATTTGTATTTATTTTATTTATTTGTATTTATTTTTATTTATTTGTATTTATTTTATTTATTTGTATTTATTTTTATTTATTTGTATTTATTTTATTTATTTGTATTTATTTTTATTTATTTGTATTTATTTTATTTATTTGTATTTATTTTTATTTATTTGTATTTATTTTATTTATTTGTATTTATTTTTATTTATTTGTATTTATTTTATTTATTTGTATTTATTTTTATTTATTTGTATTTATTTTATTTATTTGTATTTATTTTTATTTATTTGTATTTATTTTATTTATTTGTATTTATTTTTATTTATTTGTATTTATTTTATTTATTTGTATTTATTTTTATTTATTTGTATTTATTTTATTTATTTGTATTTATTTTTATTTATTTGTATTTATTTTATTTATTTGTATTTATTTTTATTTATTTGTATTTATTTTATTTATTTGTATTTATTTTTATTTATTTGTATTTATTTTATTTATTTGTATTTATTTTTATTTATTTGTATTTATTTTATTTATTTGTATTTATTTTTATTTATTTGTATTTATTTTATTTATTTGTATTTATTTTTATTTATTTGTATTTATTTTATTTATTTGTATTTATTTTTATTTATTTGTATTTATTTTATTTATTTGTATTTATTTTTATTTATTTGTATTTATTTTATTTATTTGTATTTATTTTTATTTATTTGTATTTATTTTATTTATTTGTATTTATTTTTATTTATTTGTATTTATTTTATTTATTTGTATTTATTTTTATTTATTTGTATTTATTTTATTTATTTTTAATTTTTTATTTATTTGTATTTATTTTATTTATTTGTATTTATTTATTTATTATCTAAGGGAACATCAGCTCAGCTCTCCAAACCAAATGACAAAATCCTGCCGGGAGTGACACTGGGCTGCTCAAGCCTGGGGAGATAAAAATGCAGGGGTTCTTTACTCTTTATTTTATTATTTTTATTATTACTCTTTACTCTTTATTATTACTATTATTATTATTATTATATTTTTTATTTTATTTTATTTTATTTTATTTTATTTTATTTTATTTATTGTGATCTTATTGTTAACTCTATATGATAATAATTATTCTTAGTGTAATAATAATTATTATGACCACATCCCTTGGAGTCAGATCTAAATGCAAACACCCAGAAAGGGATGGGGGGCCCCCTCAGCGTGGTGTTTGTACCCATCCTGCTCTGGCAGAGCCTTGCTGGGGCTTGGGCTGGTAATTTGGGGATTGAGGACAGGTTTAGGAGCCCAAATCTCTTAGCAGAGAACATTTCATTCCACCAGTGCTGATCTTACACAAACTCAGTGTCTCTAATTCCTTTGTTGTTGTTGATATTTCCCTCCTGTCTCATCTGCTGGGGACCTGACACTTACAAACCTTGCTCTTGTTTTCTTGGTTTTTTTTTGTTTCTTCCAAACTTCCCGACTTTTCCTGTGTTTGCCTTGCTGGAGTCATGAATAAAGTGAATTTAAAATTGCTGGGAAAACCTGATAAATGTCAGAGCTTTTCAGGAGAATTCGGATCAGGGCAGACATTACATTGAATTATTTGGCTCTGATTTTTGTCCCACAAGAACTGGACTTTTTGAATTGTTTTGCATAAAACAGACCTCTTAAAATTAAAAGAAATAATTTCAAACCATTCTGATGGATTCTTTGATTGCATTAATTGCTTTCTCTCCTACTTCCAGACTTGTCAAATTGCGAATTTTGGAGTTAAGAGAAAACCACTTGAAAACTCTACCAAAGTAAGTGCTGGGGTATTTAAATTTTAAATTTATTCACCTGGAATTTCCAAAAGTGCCAAATATTTGGATTGGTAGCAATGCAGTGGTGATGTTTCTGTGATGAGTTGTTGGGGTTTTTTTGGGGTTTTTTTTTTTTGCATTTATAAAAGAAATTCTACTGAAGATTTTTAGCACAAAAACAACAACAATTAATGATTCTGTGATATAAGGGAAGATGGACAGTGGCTGATCAGCTGAGTCTAACTCAAAAGCCAAAATTTGGCGTTTTAAGATGAATATCTGATATGGTAAGATAAATATCTGATATTGTAAGATGAATATCTGATATTGTAAGATGAATATCTGATATTGTAAGATAAATATCTGATATTGTAAGATGAATATCTGATATTGTAAGATAAATATCTGATATTGTAAGAAAGATGAATATCTGATATGGTAAGATAAATATCTGATATTGTAAGATGAATACCTGATATTTTAAGATAAATATATGATATTGTAAGATGAATACCTGATATTTTAAGATAAATAAACAAACTTGGGAGGCACCAGATGAGCCAACCCTGGCCAGTGAGGCTGTGGCAGAGTTTTCCTCACCAAGGACTCACCTGAAGTGGTGAAAACATCTTCAGGAAAATATTTTCAGATACCTCATGGTCTGTCCAGAATTAAATGGTTTGGGCCAGCAGGATGTTGAGTCCCTCTGCTCAGGATTATTTAAGTTAAGTGGGGCTTAAGTGGACAAAGAGCTCCCAAAAGCAGCCTGGAATTCTCAAAGATCCCGGAGTCAATTCCAGCCCTGGGCTGATCCCCCACACGGGGCACCATAAATTATTTTTGTTCCTTTAGTGAAGGGGGGGATTATTTTTAAATTAAGGATGTTTTATTGTTTAGATAAACATTAGTATCAGAATTTGTGAGATTTTAAAGGAGTAAGTTGTTGGTTATAGCTTAGGAGTAGTTACAAGTTTCTTCATTGTAAGATAATATATATTTCATATATATATATA